GAGGCTTGTCCCAGCTTCTGCCAACCTAGCAGTTCGAAAGGAGGTTAAAAAATGCAAGTAGAAAAATAGGGGCCACCTTTGGCAGGAAGGGAACAGTGTTTCGTGCGCCTTTGAGGGTTTAGTCATGCCGGCCACTTGACCACGGAGGCGTCTTCGGACAGCGCTGGCTCTTCGGCTTTGAAACGGAGATGAGCACCACCCTCTAGAGTCAGGAACGACTAGCACATATGTGCGAGGGGAACCTTTACCTTTACTTTTTAATATATTGCAGAATCTCTGCCATAGTTAAAAATATTGCTGCTGTTGTTTTGATTAATAGATCAATTAATTGAATAGATTAATATTTGACTATAGGTAATCCTTGGTTTACAACCACAATTGAGCCCAAAATTTCTGTTGCTAACTGGCTAAGTGAATTTTATGACCTTTCTTGTCACAGGTATTAGATGAATCACTTTTAGTAAAACAATTGTTAAGTGAAGCTGGCTTCCCCCTTGTCAGGTCACAAAAATGGATAACGTGACCCCAGGAGACTGCAACCGTCATAATTATGAATCAGTAACCAAGAATCTGAATTTTGATCATGTGTCCAGGGGGATGGTGCAGTGATTGTAAGTGAAACAGGTCACTTCCTTTTTTCAGTGCCGTTATAACTTTGAATGGCCAATAAATGAACTGTTGCAAATCAAAAACTAGCTGTATTACCTTTTTCAAAACAGATAAAATACACATTTCCAACAGCCATTGTTTGACATCTGGAATAATATCACTTTTCCAATTTCTTAATCATCTTACATTCCTGATAATAGGCAGATTTCAAAGATTTGGTATATTAGCATCTTTCATTTAAACATGTTCTCATAAATCTATTAATATACACTAATACATTATCTCAAAAAAAGGTGCTAAATAATCACATTCCATATAATATGGGTTAGTTAGCCCTCAATTTATTATACCTCCAACATAGGAAATCTGGTGTCCAATCTTTAGAATACATTTTTAGGGAATGTAATCCACGCTAAATACAATTTTTGAAGAATTAATCTTAATCTCAAATCTATAGATACCATTTTAAAAGACATGAGGCCATTGAGGTGGCTTTTTGGGAAATTCCTGTTATTTAGTCCATGTCTGAAATATCTCAAAAATATCCACTCTGAAAATGTTACAGGTTTTATTTGTTATGGATTCCCTCACATAAGAAAACAGCTTATGTGTCTCTGAGCAGCAAAAGCAACTGATCCATATTTATACATTTGAACATGTTTAACTGAAGGTAAATTTATGAATTGGGAAGATTAAATTCAATTTGAAATCAGTTGTTAAATGGTATTTAATTTAAAGTCTTAATTGCAGTATCTACAGTACCAGCACTTCCTGTTGACATTGTTAAGTAAATCACCATGGACATCATGTCATCATTTGCAATCTCCTGCTGGCTTTCCCACTGACCTTGCTTGGAAGAAGCTGCTGAAGTGGAATGCTGCAATGGCTGGACCTTTGAGGACTGATTGTAAGTATCACTTATTCAGTGCTATCATGTTCAAATGATCCCTGAATCCCCATCCTTAAGTAAAGATGACTGTATCACCAATTTTCAAAGTAGAATTTTTCCAAAGGGTTAGCTATTGATGAGCCTCATTATCAAAACTTAATTTACAGTATGGGCCAATAGGATTTCTTATTGCTCATACCTTTGGAAATAAAACATCTTTTCCTCCAGATGCTGTTCCCAGCACTTGCCTGGTTGCAAAGGAAATACATAATAGGTTTCCATCTTAGCCTGTGAGGAGTACTATTCAGTTATATTGGTATTCCACCAACAAACAGATAATTGATAAAATATTGGCAGAATGACATTTTTGTAAATCAAGCTACCTTGTTCAAATGATAATCTCAATATAGCTAAAGGAAATCTTGGTGGTCCACTATCACAAATAAATTTCCTAAGTAACTTTTTTATTTGATATTAACATAAGAAAACCTCTCAGAATATAAATAAGAGATAATATTCATTTTAGTAACTTTAATTTTGCTCCACAAACGCAAAGGAATTTTAAGCTAATATTATCCAAAGTTATCTAATAATATCCAGTTCAAAAGGTTTCATCATATTTATTTCCACATATTTAGAAATACTTTTTTGCTACACTGAATAAAGCACAAATATTTGATATAATTAGTAATCACAAAACCCATCTTTTTACATAATTGTATTGAGTCCATAGGAAATAAACAAAATTAATCTCAATTTACTTTATAACCAGAATACTTTCCAAAATACTGCATAACCTTTATAAAATTAGAAAAAGAAATAGAGTCCAGAATTTCCAAAATATCATCAGCATATAGATACAGGGAAACAGCTAGATTAGGCCCTAGCCATAGCCTCTCATTCCAATGCAAGACAGGCTTCCAAGCTAACCTACATGTTTGGCCGATGAAACCCTATTTATGGGCTGGGCTATAAGCCCTAGTCACTTGGCTATCGGGACACTGTCCTGGCTCTTAGATTTTGGCAAAGTCAGCCATACCTTAGGAAGGAGCTTCCAAAACCCTTTCCCATCCTTAAAAAAAAAAACCTTTCTTCCCCAGAACCCACATATCTTCAATAAAATGGGAAGGACAGATATGCTGATTTTTCCACCCCAATTAAGTGCTGAAACTAAACTGCCATCTAAAATTAGGAAAGCTTCAGATAAAATAACATTTTATAATGGATCACCATTTGCTATGGGATTTGGAGGGGTAAAGAAAAGCATTCCTTGCATTGATTTAATCAAAAGTATATATATAAAATCATATGCAGGTCTTGGCGTATTTGGATCTTTTCCCGTGTAAGATTGAGAGTATCTTGGTGACATTTCAACGAGGTCCCCCTCACTATGTTCAGGCTGGTGCCTTTGGCTTCGTCTTTCTATAAATATAGGTGGGGGTGTGTGGAGTGCTGGCTTTGTTGCTGTAAGCGGATTGGTTGGCTGTGTTATAACATTTTGATTAGTTGAGGGAGTTGATGTTTGCAGATTAGTCGGCTTTTTCATAACATCCTGTGTGGCTGAGGTACTGGCTATGTGCCTATTGTTCTTTTGTGTTGTAACATTCTGGGTAATGGGCTGTGTGATGACATCCTGAGCTTTATTGTAGTGATATCCTGAGTCCTGTGCTGCAACCTCCTGGGGGGTTGGCTGCGTTGTAACAGCCAACCCCCCAGGAGTTCTGTGATGTAATGTCCTGAGCAGATGGCTGTGGTGTAACATCCCGGGCTTTAGTTTGGCTCCGAGTTTGTGGTCTGGCCATGTGTTCATGGCGTATGTTAGTTTGCTTTTTGTGGGGTTTGGAGGGGGGTGCAGCAGTTGGTGATGCCGCCGTGGTTTGGCTTCTGTATGGTGGTTGCATTTCGTGTATGGGATGGGTTTGGGTTAGGGTTAGGGTTAGGGTTAGGGTTAGGGTTAGGG